GTAATTTTCCAAGTTTCCTTTGGGAACCTATTTTCCAAATTCAGTTTGGGTTCAAGTTCTTCCATGAAAATTAAGGATCCTAAAGAAACCAGGCAAAATGCATTTATCTTGAACAACATATCTCTTTGGTAACATTTGCTATACAATAAATGTCTAACTACATAGAAAGGTGAGTGAATGGTTTGAATTGGAATTATAAACAGGGTTGGCCAAATGTCCATTGGCTGATATCTGCTATAAACAGCAATTTCAGTTTTAAAGTAGATAAGATTAGTTAGCAGTTACACAATAAGCAGGAAGACAATGATAGTAGACATAGCAACAACATTGAGATGGTAAGAATTAAAATATATAGAACTAAAATATCGCTTGAAATTGGTAGCTAATCTCATGACACACTTTCCAGTGATCCTAACTCTTAGAGTGTATTAGAGTGTATTGAGAGGTTTTATATGAACATGATTAACGGGATAATAAAGTGGGAATCAGTATTGTGTTTCAATTTAGAAACTTTGGGGTGAAGTGATGTGCTTTAACAAAGCTTCCAGGTAATTTTGATGCATGCTAATATTTGAGAAAGCCTAGGGCTTAGACTGTAATGACTTCCACAAAGATCATAAAATCAAATACTTAAAGATCAATATTTGCTTAAAGCTTTTTTTTTTTTTCTTTCTGCGAATTTCCTTCTTAGGATACTAGTAAGCATGACCACTGTTGACAGACATGCTTTATGTCCTGACCTTCAAGTGGAATATTTGCATGAAAATTAAAGCTTGCAATTTGTGAAGGAACAGACTGTCTTAGAGTTGGAAGGGGAGTTCAATAAGCTGAAAGATATAAAACTAAGAAAGAATAAAATATTGTCATTTTTAAAACTGGGGTATATCAGGAGTTCTACTTCCCCTTGGGTATAGAGAGCTGGAACTATTATTGTTTCTACCCCAACAACAAGAAAAACCCATGTAAACTTTAAAAATCACAATTTCACTGAACACTTCAAAGAGCTGAAGTCACTAGTCAACCAAGTAATATGAAATGCACTGAATCTCAGCCCCCTCCAAGGAGAAATGAGACACAACCTCCTGTTCATCAGTGACAGACCATGGAAGGAAGAGATGCTGGGTGCCATACAACCAGGCAAGAAGTATCCAGCTATAATTTTTAATAAACTGGTAGAAGTCAGATATGGACTAGAGTAAAAGAACAGAGACCCTGGGAGCTGAAGACACAGGGGGTGTTAGAACCCACTTGCAAGCTCTTCTCCCTGGACCCCAATCTCCTGCTCATGAGGAAAATCATGGGTAGAGCAGGAGAAGGCCAATCGCCTTCCTCAGTGTTGCAGGCTTGGAGAAGCGAAGTGGTTACTGCTATGAGAAAAATATGAAGCCCTGATGTAACCTTTCTCTAGAAAACAAACCTTAAGCTCCTGGAAGAAGGAAAGAAAACCCTGTCACCACAGGGCAAAGATACAGACCCACTGTAGCCAGGTGAAGGGCAAAACAACAACAACAACAAAACCCCAAAATAAACCACGTCTGCCTCTGGAGAAGCACTCTTTACAGGTTCCTACAGCAAGGACAGTAGAGGCCTGCTACCACTATGGAAGGGACAAGAAACTCTCATGGAAGACCAATCAGAGACATAAGATGGAGTCTGGTTGCCACAGAGGAAAGACACAGGACCACTCAGAAAGACCATCTCTGATACCTAAACCATCAGGTCCTAAGGTAGATGCTATACTAAGACAACAGTGAAGCCCTTGCCCAGAGCAACAAGCACCCAGTAAGAAGAAAGTACAGTCTACCACTGGGGAGTACAAAGTGTGGAGAGGGAAATCACTCATGGTGGAGATGAACAGGGAAGCTAAAGATAAAGTAGAAACATTGTGAAATGCCATTGAAATCCCAGCCTCCAATTTAAGAAAAAGGAATTCAAGGCCAATGGTGCACTGAAGGTCATCATAGGAACAAGAAAACCCAAAGTTTTAGTCAGCTTTACTAACTAGCTATTTCCTCAACAACATCAACTTCCATACAAACATGTGCTAATAGCCTCAGAAGAGATGTGTCCACTTCCAGACGTAAAATCTCTACTATTATCCACATAATGTCACGAATTTTTAAAAAAGTCACATGACACACAAAAAAGGCAAGAAAAGTGAAAAAACACACTACTAAAACAGAAAATAATGAACAGAACTGCCTCAGACATAACCCCTATGTTTAAACTATGAGATGGAATTTAAAGTAACTATGATTGGGGCACCACCCAAGTAGCTCAGTCTGTTAAGTATCTGACTCTTGATTTCAGTTCAGGTCATGATCTCAGGGTCGTGAGATCAAGCAGCACATCAGGCCCTATGCTGGGTGTGGAGCCTGCTTGAGATTCTCTCTCTCCCTCTCCCTCTGCCCCCATCCTTGTTCACATACTCTCTCTTTAAAAAATATAAATTAAATAAGGTAAATATGATTATTATGCTCCAGATGCTAATAAATGACCACCTTCTTATACTGTACACAAAAATAAATCCAAAATGGATAAAGACTTAAGTGTGAGACAGAAATCCATCAAAATCCTAGAGGAGAACACAAACAGCAACCTCTTTGACCTCGGCCACAGCAACTTCTCATTAGACATGTCTCCAGATGCAAGGAAAAAAGTGAAAATGAACTATTGGGACTACATCAAAATAAAAAGTTTCTGCACAGTGAAGGAAACAATCAACAAAACTATAAGGTAGCTGACAGAATGGGAGAAGATATTTGCAAATTGCATATCTGATAAAGGGTTACTATCCAAAATCTATACAGAATTTATTTAATTCAACTGCCTGAAAACCAAACAATCCACTTAAGAAGTGGACAGGCGACACCAGAGCTTACTCTGTGCACACAGGGAAGAGAGGCCATGTGAGTATATAACAACAAAGTAGCCATCTACAAGCCAGGAGATGAGGCATTACCAGACAGCAATGTTGATCTTGAACTTCTAGCCTCCAAAACTGTAAGAAAATATTTTGTTTTTGTTTTAGCCACTCAGTCTATGGTATTTTGTTTTGGCAACCTAAGCAAATTAATAAACATGAAAGTTGTAGTAATGAATCAAATGAACATGCTAGAAATAAAAAAAACATGGTAAGAGGAATAAAGAATGTGTTAATAAGTTCATCAAGGCGACTCAAGACAGCCAAAGAAGCAATCACTGAACTTGAAGATAGGTCCACAGAAATTTATGCAAACTTAGACTCAAGAAGAGTGACAAAAAAATAACAGAGCATCCAAGAGTTATGGTATAATATAAAACAGTCTAGCATATGTACAATTTGAATCTCAGAAGGAAAGGAGAGACAATAGTAAAAAAGAATTTTGTGAAGAAATAATGGCAGAGAATTTTCAGAAATTTCTAACAAACATCATAATACAGATGCAAGAAATTCAGAGAATTTTGAGAAGAATAAATCCCACAAAATTTCTAAACACACACACACATAGATACATTATATTCAAACTTCTGATAAAAAAAATGAAGATAACAATAGGAAAAAAAGGAATAAATATAGGATTTATAACAGGCTTATGAGAAACCATGAAAGCCAGAAAATAATGGAGTCAGTGTTTATAGACAAGAAAATAAAATTGTCATCCTAGAATTTTACACCCAATGAAAATATCCTTAAATAGTGGTACTGCACAGACATACCCTACACAAAATATAGAAGAAATCTGTCTTCAGACGGAATGTAATGCAGACAAAATGTGGATCTACAAAACACAATGTCTTCAGAAAATCTATTTTTCCAATTTCTTTAGCTACTGCTGAAAAGAACACAGCTCATAAGCCTCAGAATGGTTCTCTCAATCAGGACCTTGGATAGGACTGCCAAATAATCCTGTTCCCACAATACTGTCATCTTACCACCTAGCATCCTTCCAAAGAGTGGCTGAAATAAATTGATGTCTCTGTTTGGAAAGTCAGTTACTGATATTTTACAAATACAGTGATTGCAAGAAACTCCATAAGATGGCTATGAACGTCTTGGTGACATTCTCTAATTTTATTATTATAATGCCACATATAAGTAATGCTTCTCCTCCACCCCACCAAATTCACTGAAAAGAAAGTTTAAAAACCAAGTTTTAAAATTAACCTCATGGCTGGACTGGTCCAGTAAGCTACCATATGCAGACTGGTAGCCTCTTTCTCAAGACAATGTCTTGTCCTTTATTATGGTGCCACTACACTGTCCTGAGCCTTGCTGGTTGGCATTCCCTCCTGCTTTTGACAACAGCATGTTATGGGAAATTGTTAAAATTTCTGTATTCTTATGATTATTTCCTTACATTATACTCTTCAAGTACTCTGCAGGCTATAATGAAACTTAATATATATTACCAGATGACCAGGACAGAATGCAAGACAAAGAACACAGGAGGAAGGAAAAACATTACATTCACATGTGAATTTAGGGGAAGTCTAAAGACACTAGTATCCCTCTAAGGAAGGCAACTATGTTATGCAAAAATGACTTGTTACAAGACAACATTGTTTTATAAAAAAATACATGCATTTTGTCTTTAAGATATATAGAATTGACACAACCAGTACTATGCTCTGTTTATATGAATAGTTATTTTATTTCTTTCTTGCTGAATTTTGGATGATTTTTTTGTTCCTTCCTTTATTTTCCCCACTTGGAAACATTATGACCAATAACATGTTAGGAAGGAGAGCCTACTGTTTTGCAGCAACTTTGGCAATGCCTTTTAAAGCATCCAGGATAAGAACACCATATGAGAACTGCACGGCTGCCATTACTGTCACCTTGATCTAGGAAATCAGGGATTTGTTTAGTGTAAGTAGGAAAGCATAAGAAAGAAAATCTTTTCCAGCTGCCCACTAATTCAATTCAATTGAATAAACATTCACTTTATTTCCATGTGCTGGCCATGAAATACAAGGGCAGTCAGTTTAACAGAAAGAAGAAGGACGAGCTCACTTACTAATTTGATTCGGTGGCCAGGAGTGGTACTGATTTCCCATGTGCATTCCTTCCTGCTTGGGTACTTGTCTGGCCAGTTGGGGCTGGTGATGAAGCCACTTGGACTGTGGATCTTCTGTTCACACTCAGCTGTGCCAGTAACAATAATATCAATCAGTATGGAAATCCAGCCCAGGATTGGTTCAGCAAGAAAGTAGCCTATTTGCTCCCTATGCTGCTGAAAAGATTTTCCTGAATACTAACTAATCACCACTCCAGTCTCTGTTATCATAGTCATCTGCTTTGGCAAACATGTTGTAGATCATAATCAGGCAATGTTTATTTTTTTGCTCACATGAAATTAAGCGTTTACAATGAATTAGATAAATGCCTAAAAGAAAATGGACTAGTTTAAACTGCTGGATCTGAAAGCTCAGATTTTAACAGAGCAACATATATTGACAATCGAGGATATTAACACTTGGCATGTGCAAAATACTTAATGCAATGTCACAAATGATAATCAATGGATATGCCACTTTCAATTCATATTTTTCCATTAGCAGAAACATCATTTATAGCTAATTAACATCATTAAGCCATTTTATGGATCATGTATTTACATTTTCTCTCACCCTTAAAGTAAACATGTGGATACCTAAACCATAATTTTAGCTGTTAAAGTAAATTAATCCCTAATTTTATCAAAGTAAAATGCAGCACTAAGGGGAAAAATAAATGGAAATAGCTTCTAAACTAATTTTGAAGGCTATTTCATTCAATTAATATGAAATTTCTTTTAGGTTTTTCACAATTAAAATTACCTTAGCTTAAAGGAGACTATTCTACATTGTAAATATCACATTTCAAAAATGTTTAATGTCAAAAAAATATTTAATATCCTCAGGCTCTGTCCATTCTCTGTAACTTATGAAGCAGCCCCCTACACATCCTAGTTTAGACTGGGAATTATTTATTGTGTATTATGTATCCCATTCTAAACACAACTAATTCTCTGATATTTTCCAAGAAATCTCTTTGGGGCAACTCTTTACTATATGGACAAAACACCTGTTACACTGCAGGACTGTGCAATAAGGGTATGATGCCCAACATAAATGTGCTGTTGTTGCATTCCCTACTACTAGATCTTTCTCTTACTTGTGGTAGGTTTCCATAGGGAGATTTGGACTCCTAGCATAGGAATACAAAAAAGAGAAGAAATTCAGCTCCTTTCAAACAATGTAGGATCATGTAGCAAGTCTTAGAATCTAGATCCTAACAGTTTTCTAAGTTCCATTATTCCTGTCCTTGCTTTGCCATATGAAATATGGATCTCCAGGATCTGGAAATAGCCTATAAAACAAAGCCAAGAGGCTCGCTACTAAATTGTAGAAGGTGTCCATATGATAGCAGAGGTAAAAAAAAATCCTAACCCCTTACTGGCAGTAAAAATGAGCTTTATTAGGGATACCTAAATATCGTTCTATCTAAAAGCAAGTTTCCTATGAAATCCTTTCTTGAAAATATTTACTGTAATAAACAAAGAATTAAGGTATCTAACTTATATTTGTCACTTGTGAGCCACAGGGTATATGCATACTTTACAAAAGCTGTCTCTTTTTTCTCTGAATTATCTTCTATAACTGCATGACTATTCCCCAGCCTGTTGACTTAACAGAATACTGTACTAAGTTACAAATATCGGAGTCCTCATGGGTTTATCCTCACATAAGAAACTTAAAAGAGGGAAAAAAAATTCTGCTTGCATATGATTCTGAGCAATATCATTGGCTCAATGAAAAAATTGAAAAAAACTGACATATGACAATATTTGAAAGGAAGTGAATGGAACAAGAGTTAGTTCAGGATATCCTGTACTAATCCAATGTTCATACAAAGAGCTGCTATCTAACTGTGATTCTAGCCAGGGACCCACCAATCTACATGTGCTAATAACTAAAGTTATAAAATCTGCTATATTAATTCTTTCAAAATGGGCATAAATCCAATTTAAGTAGAAAATTCAGGAGCAAATCCTCAAAGGATGAAATAAGAGCTGAGTAACTATTTCTTGTTCCCATCTACCTCATATTGGCTAAGGAGATAAAGATAACTGTTTTTTTTATAAAATCAGAATATTATAAGGCCTTGGGGTCGAAAACTGATAGCCTACTATTGTGCTATTAGAATGCTCCTTTTCTTTTTTTCTTTTTTTTTTTTTTTTTGGCCAAACCCATGACTTAGAACTTTAAATGGCACAGTATCTACCATTTTCAAATGTCTTTCCTCTGGTAGGCATTTTAGTTTGATACTCTTGGTATTTAAAGTGCCATCACTCATGTAGCACATATATGATATTCTGGGGAGGGAAATTAAACCAAATGCAAAACATTTAGCAGAAGTCAAGTTTAAATATGGAGACTGTCATAGGGTCTGTGCTACAAGAACCTGGGGATAATGTGGTGCTTTTCTGGCTGCCAGATGGCATCATAGCCACTCCGATGTCTGTTACACAAAGTTATTCTAATGTCACCCATGTGTGAAGTGCAGAACCTTTAGGTATTATGAGGTTCCAATAGTATGCCTTGTATCTCTGAATGCTGCACATATTTTTTTTTGACATTTGAACAGTCAACAATGATATCACTCATTGATATGATTAACTCTACTTGGAAGCAGTGCTTTACCGAAACTACATGCAATTCTAGATGTTGTCAAGAAAAGAACACTCTTTCATACCTTCCTTGCAGTCATGTTTATTTTCATGCAGCACAAATCCATTACGACACTGACACATGTAGCTTCCCATTGTGTTGACACATTCATGTTGACACCCACCATTATCCTTAGAGCATTCGTCTTTGTCTAGCAAAAAGATAACCCCACAGTTTAGTAAAGTAGCTTTGGGAACAAAGGGTATCAAAGGAAACTCTTTTAGCTGTGGTTAACACTGGCAAAGGGTAAACTAAGTCACAGCTTTCTTTGTTCCCAACATAAAACAAACCCCCCCCCCAAATTTATAGTGTCTTAGTTTTACCCACTCCTTGTTTAGCTTGGAGCTTTGTACCATGAATTGAGTTTCTAAGACTGTTGACTCTAGGAAGACAACTTGTAGCCTCTTTCACTCCTATGTTGGAGTAGGAGTTCTGAGTAGGAGAGAGGAAATGAATGAATCTCTTTCCAACTAATCCTAGACATTTATTGCCAATTTTTAAAAATAAATTTAAAATTGTGAGTAGTTTGAATAAATGCAGAACTGCATTTAAGTAGAGGGAAATCCTTCAATATATTAGCCATGGTGTAGAGACAGAGGCTAAACAAGGTTCCAAAATTTGTGTATAATAACTTTAAAAAAAAATCACTCAGTATGACTACTGCAGTTGATTTTTTTTTTGTTAACTTTGCTGTTATGGTTAGCATTAATGAATCTGAACACTTCATAACCATTCAAGACAGAAAAAGGCATCATTAGATTATCCTAAAGAAGTAACTTAATTTATATATTTGAAACAAATCTACTCCAGCAGACCAGTTTATTAATAAGTAATTCCCTGAAAAGGCTTTTAGTGTGCTAGAAGTAAAGGTTAGAATAGGAAATGTGAGCTTGAAGGAATAGCCAAAAAATTCACTACAGGGAAGAAAGCCAAACGAGATTAGCAGGCAGTCAATCCAGTGAGAGGCATCAGCCACCATACTATGTCACTCAGCTGTCATTCCATGGCTGGCTTGTCCATTAAAGTCAAAACTGGCAGATTGCTCCTGACACACATAGATGATGACACATCACTCAGACTTTCATCATTCCCACAGCATAGAGAACAAAAAGGACACATGACAGTCATATCAGAGGTTGGCTGAATTCAAAAATTTATACTGTCAACTGATTTTTCAAGTGACAATTTGTGAGCTCACGGAGGCACATAGATAGCTAAAGCTAGTTTTGCTTTTTTATCAAATCAATATTCACTCTATAGAAATGGGTTTAGGAAAAGCATTTTTATAGAAGAATCTGATAGTAATTTTTAAGGACGCATCTCTTTTCCCATTTTTGGAGATTGATTACACGACATAGCACACACATGCTTCTGGGATATATTCATGTATTGGCAATATCAGAATACTCCAAATGCATACAGGCAGTCCCAAAGTTCAAAAGAATATATCAGAATTGATACATCTATGATTTATGTGTTCTCTATCTATCTTTAACACCTCCATTTCACTTTTATTATTTACTATGTAGCTTAAGCACAATAAAAGCAGAATAAAGAAAACCGTTCTCTAAAAGAACATCAACATGTTTAAGAAATCAGAATACAGAATTAGCCTTGTAAAATTAATTTTAGAGTGATTTATAATCATTTCAAAGCCCTGTTCCCTTAATTGTGTCAACAGTGAAAATTACAGTTTATGAGTTATGGATGACTTATGCAAAACGGGTGGATGGTAGGTCATAACTTCTTACCCTGATGGAGTCAGCCACTTGTATTTTCCAATACAGACAGTCAAGAAGTAAATGATTTAAATTAATTAATTAATTAATTAAATTTATTAATGTAACTTTCCAGAGACACTTTAGTTGAGATGCTTCAAAAAAAAATATATCTTCATGAGCGGATGTAGAAATACACTTTCTTTGTTAAATGGAAATAACCAATTTAAAATTTCTGGTGCCAGAATTACTTACACTGAAATAGCTACATATTTCCTATGAAAATGTTTATATAATGAATGTTTGATGATCTTAAAATAACACCTGAGAGACTGAACTCTAGTTGTACTATAGGTCAACCAGACTTTTGAGAATTCACTGGAAATCTAACAACTATAAGCCATTTAGTTTATAGAAAATGAGTTCACATTTGCAATTGTCTAGTAAACAGATTAAGTGCTCAGTGAACCAATGGTGGCAGGGACTGCCGGAAATCATCCTTTTATCTGGACCTGTTTCTGGACCTGTTTGGATTGCCATTCATGAGCAATATAAAAATGTTAAAATACAAACATGAACACAAGTTATTATTCATGCATTTTTAAGTCCATAGTTATTTTATAATCAAGGCAATTCCAGTACATAAAATATTTCTAACATTTAAACTTCATTCTAGTGGCACTCTCAAGCCACTAGGTTATATTTCTAGGAAGAATTATTTTCTTTAGATTTGGCAGAATGTATTATGATAGAATAATATTAGAACATAATATTACCACAATAGCTGTGGTAATGGTAACTAAAGAGAAATAAAGTTGAAAGTGAAATTGATTACATTACATAGTAGTCTTTTTGTAGCTAATAATTCATATTTATGTTGTTTGGGAAAAATAATTGATAATTTTAAGATAATCTTTAGAGGAAAAAGAAGGGTGGGAGAAAAATAATGATTGTCCAAGTATCCACAGTACTATTTCTCCCTTTGACTGGTGTTTCCTGACTTCATCTCCACATAATCAATGTGGTGCCTAACATAATCAATGTCACATGAAAATTAAGAGTAATCACAATACACTACTAGAATATGTATATTCTATACATATATTAATCTAGAGTTTATCTAAAATTCAAAACTGGACTAATGCAAACAGCAACTAAAAGCAGCAGAGGAAAGTTATCATACCCAGCAAAGTAACATATAAAACTGTGCCTCCATGTGTCAAATAATCATATGAGAAGAGAAAATTTCAGTAAACATTGGAATACTTAAAATTATGCACACAATTTACATCATGCAGACAAAGAAAGCTATTTATTTCAATTAATATTTTAAGTCATTAGGGAGTAGTGAATACAGTGTGGTTATTTTAAAAATATTTATTTTATTTTTTTAGATACTTGTTTTAATAGAAGTAAATAAACTATTCTATTTAAAGTGAATTGATTTCTGATGATCTGTTGATGAGAAATAGCAACATCACAAGAGACAAAGTCCACAATTATATTCTGGACATCTTATGAATGAAAGATATAACTAGAGAAAAAAGCTATTAGCAAACATGTTTATGTTTTCATTTTCTTTCCCTTTTTCCTCTTAGGACATACAAACTACAGATACTTTGAACAATGAAAATCCAAAAGAGAGAACAGAGGATGATACAGTTTTAACTATTTCTTAGAATGTTTGCATAATAAATTTAATATTTGAGAATTCTATCAATAACTCATTTTAAATTTTCCAGTATTTTCATACTATAGGCACAAAAGTTTAAGAATAGTTTTTATTAGTGAGAGAAACAAATGTTTTGCTGAGTAGAAGTAAAACATTTATTTTCTGCAGATGGAAATTAGCCTCCTTCTTTGGAATGGACATATCTGCTTTCCACTGCTTCATGTTAGATAAAGGAAACATCCATTATTAGGAAAGAAGGAGGTGGCATTTTCCCATCAGAGGCCTGCAGAGTCTCTCTGAGACTATCAGAAGCCATCAGTTTATGCATAATACATACTGGATGGAACTGAAGTGGCAACCTGTATCAAATTCTTGCAAGATTCAAAAATAAAAATTTTTTCTTTGCAGAAAGCTTCTTTGTCTGTAGGAAAAAGAAAGTAAAGGGTCCATGCACCAGACAAGAAACATATATGACAGATATACTCACAAGAAATGGCAAAAGATAAAATAGACCCACTCACACTCCTGCATGCACACACACATACACTCCCATGCGTGTGTGTGCATATACGTGGCACATGCAAGTTTCAACACAAACCTAACAATAAATAATCATCTTCAAAACAGCACTAATAAACTAATATTACACTGTATGTTAACTAACTGGAAATTAAATAAAAACTTGAGAAAAAAAACAGTACTAATAAACTCCTTTGAGAGCTACAACAAAGACAATTTGCTCTTTTCCAAAACATGGAAATATTTCAAAATCATTAATAATGAAAACTTGTCAAAATCATAGGAAAGTTTTGTTTAATTATTTGAAACTAATCACATTAACATTTACAGTTTTCTTAGGATAATATGGGGCTGGATTTCTTCTAACAATATCTACAAGCATTCCATTAGAGAGATGGTACACAGGAGGAATGATGTAAGGAAGGAACTGTACATGATGAAAGACAGTTCAGATGAAGAGCATGTCTGCTGAAATCATGTGAATTTGAGGTAGAAAGATCACACAGATCACTTTATCTGACTCCTACATTTGTTACAGACAGAAATAAACTGGGAGTCAGGTAAGGTGGGTTTTATTCCCACCTTTTTACCACTGAGCAAGTCACTAGGTCCTCCAGTACCAGATCTGTGAGAGACACTGCTCTTAAATGAGGTTTATTCTCCAAATTCTCTAATATTCACTCTAATTTAATTCTTACCAATCCACGGTTGTTTAAGGAAGAGAGAATGTTCAACTCTCATTGTTAAAGTCATGTGTTATATTTTTTTCAAATAATGAATGCTAGAATTAAATTTTTGAAAAAACAAGTTTGACAAATCTTGCCATTTTTACATGCATAAAATCCTACTAATATTTCCTTTAATTTTGGCCCATTTAAATAAAAATAGTTCTGAGTAGAATGCCGTTAACCTTGCTTAACCACTTAAAATAAATAAGCTATATCACATATACCTGTGCAGGTTTGCATATTTGTGTTCAAATCCACAATCATACAAAATTGTTTGGTTTTACTATTATGTAAAGTAAGTGATTAGTATTAACAGAAAAACAAACCTCATTCAGTTCAAAAACATAACAGTAATATATTGTTGGACCAGACTATCTTCTAGAAAATGCTTATGTTGTTTCCAATGTAGCTAAAAAACTGAACAGATACACAATTTTATATCATGCCTGAATAGCTTTATTTTGATTATCCTAATTTCCTTATTTGCTTTCATATTACTTCATTATATTGTTTTTTAAATATATCCTAAAATCAGTACAGTATATGACACTTTGATTTTTTTAGTGGGCCTTGTGGACTTCCTGTTGTATAACACAATAACTTCTAAATGTTCAAGCTATAGCGTTTTTCATGTCTAATGAAAGATTTTATTATGTTATTGTTAAGATTTTAAATCAGAATTTATTGTGATGGTTCTTATTTTTTTATAAATACGGAAGTGACAGAATTTGACATCCAAGAGTCATTCTTCTGATCCCATTTCTTAGGTCTATAAAGTGCTTATTTAAAATGAAAAGGTATGTACAAAAATAACTAGACTCTATATTTGATTATTTTATTAAATATTCATATTTGGAAATGATGCTATAAATGTTTTATTTCACTGTACACATTAAAATCTAAATATATTTTCTTTTTTTAAAGATTTTATTTATTTATTTTGAGAGAAAGAGAATGAGAGAGAGAGAGAAAGCACATGGTGGGGGAGGGTCAGAGGGAGAAGCAGACTCCCCACTGAGCTGGGAGCGCAATGCGGGACTCCATCCCAGGACTCCAAGATCATGACCTGAGCCAAAGGCAGTCACTTAACCAAATGAGCCACCCAGGAGCCCCAAAAAAATCTAAATATTTTTTCATGTGTCTTTTTTCTTGATGTATCACTGAGCTGCAAGAAAGTTAGAATTATTTTTTAATAACTTTCCTTTCCAAATAATATAGAATCACCTATTATCAAATATTATTTCTTCTTTTTATTGAATCCTTGGTAATTGTTCCTGGCACAAGACTGTGGAAAAAATAGTTGAACATGTTATATTCCTTATCATGTTTTCATAAATTCACAACCACTTCTGAAATCTTTAGAACACAGATTACAAACAGAAGCATTTAAGACTCAGTCTTCATAAGGTGTCACTTGATTAACATACACACTACAGTAACACATTTATTCAACTGTCTATAATAAGATAATCTTATTAAATAACTATAAAGTTAAAATTATTAAATTTAACTCAACATAAAATACTTGAGTTAAGATTATTAACCTCTATTAATATTTATTAACTAATTAATAAAAGAGATAACTTTAAAAGTTTCTTCACTCTCAAAGATCAAAGTCTATTAGGAAATGTTTACAAATCTAGAAATATTTGGGGTAACAGAAATATGATATGTGTTTTTCTTCTAAAGTTATTTTAGAGGCACCTGGGTGGCTCAGTCGATTAAGAGTCCAACTCTTGATTTCGGCTCTGGTCCTGATCTCAGGGTCTTGAGATGGAGCCCTGTGTCAGGCTCTGTGCCGAGTGTGGAGCCTACTTAAGATTCTCTCTCTCCCTTTTCCTTCTACCCACCCATACCCGCTCACAGACTCTCTCTCAAAAATTAATTAATGAATTAAAGTTATTTTTGTATTTAAATTGAAAACTGAGAGAAATTGGAGAAAAACTATAAAGTACCATCTTCCTACCTTAGCACACATTCTTGGTATTTTTATATAGCAACTTTCAGGTTTGTTCTCACCACATGCTTAGCTGTATGCACAGTGTGCAGATGGTTCCATACCTAGACTTCCATTAATATTTTATCATATACAACTTTTTACATCACAGAATCATTAAACCATCTTTATGGTGTAGAAAAGTCCACAAAGTGTACTTGTTCTAATTCATTTGCCATTTTCCCCCTGTCATACCATCACGTTGTTTCAAATTTCTATCACTATAATAGTATATTGAAATCCTTCTTCCAGCTTTTGAAACATTTCTATATAAATGTGTCTCAAGAATAAGATTTCTGAAGCAACTAGAATAGTCATTGTAATGACTCTTAATTCCTGTGCTAAATTTCTTTCTAAAGAGTTTGTCATAATAAACCCAATAATGTATTTTGTCAAATCCCCCAGGAGTAAATTTTAACAAACAAAAAGATCCTTTAATTTTGTTTGTGAAATACAATATCCCCATGGTTTACACGTCTACGTTCTAATAAATATAATGAATTATTTGACTTTGAACACATGATTATATATTATTACCCTTAAAGCATTATTAGATCTCTAAAATAACATTTTCAATGTGAATAGAGCCTATTAAAATAAGTGATCTTTTATAATTATAATTTTGTATGATGATCATAAGGACATCAGGTAAACTAAGTCTGAATTTGTTGTAATCTCTTGATAGCTCTATATTATAATGTTTTTATCTTCCCTTTCCTGAGCAAACATCTTCCCCACACTAACAGAAACTCCTAGGAAATTAAATGTAAAATAAATTTAATACTCATCCAGAACCACAGTATTTTAAATATGAATCTGACCAACTGCTGATATTTTTCAATGCACCAAAAAGAAACCCCTTGAAGTTTACACTTAATGCTAATTATCTTGGACTTTACAAAATATTAATTTAGGGACGCCTGGGTGAATCAGTCGGTTAAGGCTCTGCCTTCGGCTCAGGTCGTGATCCCAGGGTCCTGGGATAGAGCCCCACATCAGGTTCCCTGCTCAGCAAGGAGCCTGCTTCTCCCTCTCCAGCTCCCCCTGCTTGTGTTCCCTCTCTTGTTGTCTCTCTCTCTCTGTCAAGTAAATAAATAAAATCTTTAAAAAATATATTAATCTAATAAAGAAGTGAAAAGTATATCTGTTGTTTTTCAGGTCACAAATACGTTCAGTGTAACACTTAACATGCTATTTGCAAAGGGCATGATCAGCTCTTAGATAAACCAAGACAAACTGGGGGTTTAAATGCTTTATGACACTAAGCAGTTTACTTAACTCCTCAGCTGCTTCATCTGTCAAGTGAATATAATAATGAGAATTATTATAGACTATGTACTTGGATGTGCTGGACAACAGCATCTTCTCTATGTGCCTTCATATCTATATTGTAAGAATTAAAGTAGCACGCTTTATATTTCAATAGTATCATTCTAAAGACACAATCTATCTTTACAATTTGGAAAGTTTTTCCTAACCAATAATATCAGATAGTGAATTTTAAATATTCTGGGTAGCTTTAAATTTAATCATACTTTGCCACTATGTATGTAGCATGTATCTTTTAAAAAAAGTAAATATTAAATAAAAGGTATGACTATGATAAAGTAAAAGGATTGATAATATTATTAATATTATGATAAGATTTATTCGCTTTATAATTTCAATTTTTAAAATAAATATTTAGGTGGTTCTAAAATAAAAACCTTTATCTCTAACCACTAAGTCACCTAAAATCTGTAAAACACATGATATTTACAAAATAGTGAAGTCTAAGAATGTCTTGCTTTCATCAAAATAGGATATTAAAATGCTACTTTGAATAACTAAGTCTTAAATTAATGCCTGAGAAGAATTTTTAAAAGGCAATTAAACCTGGGGAAAGGAAGGCAAGGAGAATAAGAGAGCCAAGATCCCTTGTATTTTGAATGTCCTTCTGTGTATGACTTGGACCTCAATGGAGCTTGTGAACCATTAACTTCAATTACTTTGAAAACCCCAAACAAACCCTGGGCACTGTAAATCTCATTAATTTTAAACACATGGGGATTGGAATAAATGGACTTTGAATTAACTCAATCCAAATTACCTAATATTAAAATATAATTGGAATTCAGTTGCTTTAAATTGCCTGCCAGTCTGAAAGGCAGATTGCTATACTAAGGTTTATTGTAATTTTGTCTGGTTTTGAAGGTTCAGAATAATATCTTTATAAGTAAGGTCTGATTCCAAAATTAGGAAAATAAAGGAATTTCACTGGTGTTTTCATGTATTTCTTTAAATTTGGGGGACATTTTATCAAATTTTAGCTCTAGCCAAGGGAAATTTTACTATGAGTTGGTTAAACTAAATATTAAATTCCAAACAGAAGTGTCAATTGCTTAGTGTACCTGATAATCTATTATTTTTAGTAGAATTGTAATTTCCATATATGTAGGTTTCATACTATAATTCTTTCTATAGTGATGAGGCAAAGAATGATTTTAATATCAGCTTATCAATAAATGAAAATATAATCATAGGAGGAATAAGAAATATTTGCTAGATAATAAGAATAAAAAAATATGTTGCTAAAATCAGATCAGGTATTCCAGAAAAAAAGATAAATCATTTTGAAACAGCCTGCCACTTTTTAGAAGTCTGGTGTCATTATCCCAATACACTTATAAGTCACTGTATGAAAATATTATTGTAATAATTTTGTGTTATTTGTACTAGCCTTTATAATATTTGTTTTTATTAAGTGTTTGAGAGCTATATTTCATCAGGTCCCCAATTATTAATATTCTAATTATAAGTAAAAGTATTGTTAGACCTAGGATAAATGTGCATGCATTCTATGTCCCTCCAAGTTATATTTACAGAAAACTATGAAGAGTAGATAACAATGAAAGACAATCCACCTTCAAAGGCCACGATACGCACATGCAGCATATGAATACTGATACCTGAGAAGAAATGTGCCTTGAAGCCCTTCTTGGATACAGTATTGTCAGATCTGAATTCAATTCTCATATTGTTGAACTGAGATGTGATCACGTCAGGCACTTCGGCGCCACAAAACTTGCCATGCAACTTAGACTCAGAGGAAAGACCACTCCAAATCTCCACATAATCGTATTTGCAAACCTAGAAAAGACATGGTTATGAGAGCCACCAGATTTTAAAGTATCAGATGATTGACATTTATTTTTGAAAAATTCATCATGTTTTTTCCCTCTTTATTCCTCTGGTAGTCAAACTGGAATTAATAGGTAAAGAAAAAACAATCAGGGAAAGAGTCCAAATATGAGACATATGGCATGAAAAACAGATTAGGGAATTTTGCTCTAAATATCTCCAAGAGGTGTATATACCAATGTGTGCTTGTTTACATGTATTTACAGCATATATCTTTTCCAAAAAAATAGAGTTTAGGAGAACTGAGATGCATATTTGTTGAGATGATGGTGCTGATGGTTACAAGAACAGTATTTGCTGACTTTTAAAAAAAAAACTAACGTTTAAATTTTCACTAGGAACTGTGAAAGAACTTGTCATGTACTGTCTTATTTAATGCTGACAATAGTGACATGAAATTGATAGATTTAGTCTATGAAACAACCATTAACAATGGAAACATTCTTTTCTATGGTAAAGATGAGAAAACTGAGGTCCAGAAATTTCTAAATAACTCGTCCAAAATTACATTCATCATATGGGGCAGTTCAGTGAAAATAGCATGGAGTTTGGCTTGGTCTGGTGCTGCCTTCCAGAAATACTATGTTCTAAACAGAAGAGCACCCTTAGGAAATTTCAAAGGAGACAGACACTGGAGGATACAGTAAAAATGATACTTTGCCTTTCATATTTATCAAGCAAATAGATATTTCTTAATTTCTTGGAGCTGCCAGGCACTATAAAATTACTCTGGAGCTATGCTGCAGGATTGCAAACAAATAAAAACTCTATGTGGTGGAATGGAGAGGGGAATTCACACTACAATGAAGTAGACTCATTCTGGTTTATATGTAATGCACTAACAACACCGAAATGGAAGAAGCTAAGTGAATGCCAGGTATTCTTCAGCAATTTTACAGCCTCTAACAAATGTTTCCATAATACACTTTTCTAAAGTTCCAAAAGGGTACATTCTAAAGAATACATCTTGCATGAATGACCTTATTACATAAATGTGTAATTAGCAAGGTTTAACAATGCATATGATTGAACCCTGGGGCATGATCTGTACTTTGCAATATGTCAACTCAAATTACTGGTTCTTGTGATATTAATTAGGTGATAAATAAGCAAAATGTTGTTAGGAAAAATTTTTAAAAGGTCTTCTATCCACTTTGTTACAGCTGAAACATCTATTTAGAGAGAGCTCTGACATAGGGTAGGAGAATGTTACTGAGGTTAACGTTGTTTGACGTCATCTTTCTTTTTGGATATCAATATAATAACTAAAACAATGAAGTTTTAACTGAACCCAGTAAACTATAAATCAAGTTTTTGCTCATGCCTTTATTTTAAGTAACTAAGACATCAAACCACAAAAATACACAGAATTTTGTAAAAGCTTTTCACATAGTAACATCATTCTAAGTTTAAGAAACTTGGGACATGTTAGAGAGTTTGTCAAGGATCCTCCCAGGAAAAAAGACCACCACCATGGGAAAATGCTTTCAGAATACAATGACCCATTTATTTAAAACTATCTACCCTCCTTCCTCCTGAATATAAACTTCCAGCCTTCCTAGTAACATCTATCAACTAATGAATCAAAATCTCATATCAGTCACAGCTGATTGCTTTAGGGAAAATGGAGAGAGTAGAAGTCATTCAACACCAAGTTCATGTCAAATCACAGAACTGGTAGGGAGATTACCATATTCAAAAAAGGTTGCTCCTATGAAAACTTTTCTAAAAATGCTATAAAAATATTTTCTTCATTTCAATATTTCTCTAAATTTCAGGTAATTATTAAAGGAAAATGGTGTTTCATGTGGGCAAAGTATGTTAGAAATATAAATTGCAGTTTTTGCCATCATAAAACTTAACACATGATGTAAGGAGGATCTCAAAAGGTCCACTGAGCTCTAAAATTGTATAATTCTCTGAAATATATAAGTTCGTCACATTTTAGACTTTAATTTTCTTTAAGGAAACACAAAAGTCAGCAATTTCTTTTTACCTCAAAGCCATTAGTAGCACTAAAAAAAAAATGCACATAAGTGCCTTGACTATGATAGGCAGAATTAAGAGAAAAAAAAAGTCATTAAAAAGAGGTAAAGAAAAGTAGGAGGGGGGAAAAGAAGCAAAGATACATATACAAACACAACATAATGGTATAAAATTCACAAATATTACCAACAATTATTGTTCAGGAGCATAGATATATTTCTGTTTTTTCACTTTTTTACAAGTGTTCAACAGATATATATATCAGAGACAAAATAATTTTTGAGTTAATTTTATCATACTTAGAAGTTTTAAATCATGTTCATTTTAAAATAAGCACAGAAGTCATTGGAAGAAAGGATATGGAAATTAGAATAAGAAAAGAAAAGAAAGTAGGAAAGCTCAAACAAAACTGAAATTAAGCCAGTGTTGACCAATCATACAAAGGACACAGTTCTGAAAGTTCTCATTTCTAGGCTTGACATTCCATTTGAATTTTGTGTGTGCACTAGCACATAGGAATTCTCAAATAAATGATTTCACTTGTTTAAATGTGGTCACCTGGCAGAAAACTGGACCTTCATTACAATAAGTTATATTTTATAAAGGAAAGATAGTGTCAATTAAATGCATCTTTGTTGAGATTAAAAATATACCAGGTTCTCCTAAGTGGCTATTTTTGTTATGACTCAACCAGTGGATTTTGAATTTTGACAGACTAATTGATTTTTTTTTAGAAAAGTCTATGTGACATGAAGCTGACCCTAATTTTTTCATAGTTCTTTCATAAATCAAGAAATTGCTGTATATTAATACACTAAGTAAAACTCCTTCTGGGTAATTTTCAATCTCCCAGAAATAGTCTAAAATATTATCCAATGCCAACAGGAATTACAAGCAGTTGTAGAAATGAACAGTACAGCAAAGAAAGACTGTAACATCTATATGATTGTGCTACTGAAATCAATCCTTCTTTCCTTCCTTCCTTCCATCCTTCCTTCCTCCCTTCCTTCCGTTTACCAGTCTTCCCAAAACACAATAGAAAAAATTTTATTTATTATTCACTTACTTCATTGCCCTCCAATTCAAAAAACTCAAACTTCATAGAAATTCTGTATTGGGTTGGTGCAACCACCTGCCACACACAGTTTTTATTAGGAGGATACTCCTTGGGCCAGCCTGGAGTGGTTATGGTGCCATTAAGCTTGGTAAGAAGTCCGCCACAAGCCGCTAGAAGGAAAGAAAGTGACAAGGTTTTCCCCTGATAGAGTCTTCCCCTTCTTAGCACCTTTCCATTGATAACCAAATAACTCAGCATTGAATTTCAACCATCTTCCAAATTTTTCAAAATCTAGAAAGCTGCAGTCACTGTTCCTTAGTTTTTAGTACAACTATTTTAATTATCTAATCCCATTCATAAGGTGTTAATTCTTAGCTTTGGACCTAAGCAAATTATGGTTGTAACATTTCAGATCACTTTAAAGTTGGAGAAGCAATATAAAGAAAACCGGGTGTCAGTTGTCTTATCTTTTAAATGGGTATAATAATATCTACACCATATGGTTGTTATGAGAATTAATGGAAAGGTAAGCATAAAGCACAATATAGTCCAATGTAGTGAGACCAAAATTAACTGCTTATTTCTTCAAATTCTTGCTCCCCAAGATAAGCAACTCTTGGAGTTACCTGAGCTAGTAAGCAAAATAAACTAGAGTAAATAGGTCATTTTATTTTTTGAAAACTCCATTTAACAACTGTTTTCTTTCTCTTTTGAATGATCTATTTAAAAGGGGTACTATTTAAAATGTTACTTCTCTTCCTTATTGTTAATGAAATTAGCAAAATAAGGGTATCCAAAGCAAGTTAAGGAAAGAGAACCTATATTGTACAAGGTTTGTAATTAATTCCTAGGGAGTCAAGAGTTACCTAAAGTAACTGGTCTCTTAATTTTAATTGCCTTTGTGTATATATATATGTGCGTGTATGTGTGTGTGTGTGTGTATCTATATATGTATGTACATTACTGTATTTATAAATGTATTGTAAAAACGACCTGTACTTTAACATTTACCACTTTTTGATGAATTATTATAAAGTAAAATAATTATTTTTAGGCACCACACAAAACGAATCATCATGCTACTTTGTTATTGTCCGGTATACAATGTTCTCTGTTATAAAGATACTACATTGCCTTCATAACTGTGGCTATTTTATTCTAGTACAGAGAGCGGATTAGTAGTTTAATAGATATAATGGAGACTTTTGCCAAAGAGAAAAGTTTAAACTTTTAAGAAGAAACATAGAGTCTCTGACTCTTTTATTTAGGTCAGTTAAGGGTATGGCATTTATTCATTAAGCAAATAAGTCTGCCACCTTTTCCACCATTATGTCCTGTATTACAGATACAGTAGAGAACAAGGTGCTCATTTTCGGGGAGCTTACATTTACATTTTTGTGGGAACCACCAAAAGTAAACTTAATAAATACGTAACTATAAGTAATGTTAAACTGCTACAAGTTCTATGAAGATGATTTTGGCAGACATGTTGAGAGAGTTATGAATAAAGGAGGACTAGAACAGAGGAAGGAAGATCAGTCTGTTTATTTTGTAACTTAAGTATGGGGCCTGTAATAGAGTGGGGCAGGGGAACTGAGGGGGAAAAAAAGAAGCAGCTTTAAATTCTGAAGGAAGAGTTCATTGTGCAAGAAATACCATCTTAGAACGTGCAGAGGAAATGGAGAAAACATAGCAAAATCTCTTTGTTTATAACTCATTTATTAATAAAACACATTTAACTCCTGCTTTATGTTTGTGCTAGAAGGTAGAGGTACAAAAGCAATTCAGATTCAGGATTCTGTACTTTAGGAAGGGAGACGTACCCATAAACTATGCTAAGAAAAGGTAAAAATAAATGATGGGTGGATGGGTAAAAATCTAGATCTAGACAGAGATAAAAATAGAAATATATAGAGAGATGATATAGATTATAGAGAGAGCAAAAGGGGGGAGAAATGCATAGAAATATAGATATAATAAACAAGGTGGCCTGGTAACCAGAGGAGGAAATGACTGATTCTATAACAAGCACCCAGGCAAGGTTTCAGGTTAACTATGACTACAAACTGAGTCTTATCAGTTGAGGAAAGAGGTTACTGTAGAGGAAAGGAAAGGACAGAGGCAGGCAGAGGGAAGGAGAATGAGAGATATTAAAGAAAGAAGAATGGGGCATTGCGGGTGGGGGTGGGGGGCTGGGGGTGCAGGTTCATGCAGGGAGCCCCATGTGCAGATGCGACCCTACCTTCACAGCTCCTCTTGTCAGGTCCCAGCTCATAGCCGGGCTCACACACACACTGATAACTGCCCAGTGTGTTCAGACATCGCTGCTCACAGCCTCCACGGTCAGGTTTGGCACACTCATCTTCCTCTACAAAGATGGCACGAGGGGTAGAGAACAACCAGATAGAGTATTGTGTTTTACATAGTAAGCTGTAAAATTTTCTGAAAATAGGACACTTAATAACTCTGGATGAAACGAAGACAACTGATTTCTTCAACAAAGGAGCAGGAACGATTGATTTGCAAGCCCTTGATAGATGGCATACCAGAATTCACGTCACTTCAATCTAAGAATTGTATAAGACCAGAAGGACTAAAAACTTAATAGCAACGCCCACTGAAGATCATCTTATCTCTGACAGGTATGTGAGGTTTCTTTTTTTTCTGATTTTAAGGTCAAGGGAATCCTTACGACATAGAGAATGTCCAGAATAAAATGGAAAAACTTATTGAAAAAACAGCTTCACTTGTTGATTTCATAGTATAGTTTGCTAGATATCCTGAAAAATGCTTTTAAATAATTGCCATTATTAAGAAACAGCTTATGGTGAATATAAATGGAAAGAAAATTCTGAAACCTACTGGACCTCTTTAAATTTAAAGTATTTGGTATTTTTTATATAGACATCTTGATCCAGGAAATATAAAAATTCCATATTTAGTAAATACACACACTATTTTATTATATGTGGAAACATAAAAAGTATATATGAAAAATATATGCTATTAAAACAACATATATGACAATGTATTCCCTAATCTCAATCCCCGGGAATAACCTAGTGTGAGTTAAGAAAATAGCAAACAATATTCTCTGGAGAAATTCTGCACTGGCCAATCTCCAAACATTTTTGATAACCAAATATATAAGCATCACAGAGGGGATGCTTGATGGTATGTTTCTTCTACTATAAAATACTACAGAACTAATGCATGTGGATGTACATTTTTTTTTGTAGATGTACATTTTAATAAATACTTTGAATGCATCTAGTAAAAATACCAGGGCTCTCTGCCTTTCAAATCATATGGTGAATACCTAAGTAATTCTCAGGGAAACCCATTATACTGTTCTTTAAATAACGAAAGTGTTGGGCTGTTAATCACAGTAAATTTTGACATACACAACTAAATCCATCATTTATTCTATAAAAATCAGTGTAGAGAAAATTTTGTTTTCTCTCCCCATAAAAGAGGTTTTTTTTATTATGTTATGTTAATCACCATACATTACATCATTAGTTTTTGATGTAGTGTTCCGTGATTCATTGTTTTTGTATAACACCCAGTGCTCCACACAGAACATGCCCTCTTTAATACCCATCACCAGGCTAACCTATCCCCCCACCCCCTCCCCTCTAGAACCCTCAGTTAGTTTCTCAGAGTCCATAGTCTTATTTTACCATGACACACTTAATGTTAAGTGCCAATGAATTTTCTAAATGCAAATTTGATGTTATTTGTACTAAAATGGCTTTCTTTTGAGGCGCCTGTGTGGTGCAGTTGGTTAAGGGTCCTTAGCTCGAGCCTTGCATCAGCTTCCATGCTCAGCATGGAGTGTGCTTGAGACTCTCGCTCTTTTCCCTCCTCTCTCTCTCTCTCTCAAATAAATAAAAAAAAAACCTTTAAAAATAAATAAGTAAAATGGTTCTTTTTACCTTAGTAATGCACACCAAATATGGGACATGAAAATATACTAAAATTTGGTTCTGTAATTTAAAATTAAAGCTGATCAATAATAATTCTTTGTCAAAAAGGCATTTTAGGTATCAGAATATTCTGCTAAGGAGGCCATACATTATTTCCAATGTGGTGGAACATTATTCTCTATAAGGTGGTTTAGAAATGCTGTCACCTAGAAATAAATTGATGAATGACTTCTTCTGGTTATGAATCTTATATTTATTACATTCCAAATATTTTCTCCCTGTCTAAATTCCCTTTCTGGATTTTGCCTTTTTGAGTATTTCATAAAAATGGATGGTAGGATATCCCAATGGAGTTCTTACCCTGTGCTACAATGTTCCAAATTCCAGTATTTTACCAATAACCTTTTACCATCAAAAATCATTCAAATATCCTTTATGCACAGTGCATTCTTAACTTCCAGTATAACTTTATTGTAGTTCTCTCTTAACTTAATGTTAAATATCACATTTATCCCTAACAAAGAAAATCTCACACTTTAAATTACTTCAAATTACCTTTAAAGAAATTGGCAGCAAACCCTGCCTTGTTCACAGTTCCATCAGAAACAAATTTCATCCACAAGGTATTGGAGGTAGATCTGATATCTTCAGGTTTATCATAACCACAGAAACGCCCTATCAAAGGGCTATTTTCACTGGTTCCGTCTCGAACTTCTAGATAGTCATAGGCACAGTTGTCATGTCTTTCAATCTGCAACAATAAAAATATGGGAAGATATATCTAATTAATAGATAAAACAATTTTTGTAGAAAGAGCATTATGTGTTCTCGGTGCCATGGTACTGACAGGGTCATGTAATAAGTTACACCAAATGCGAGCTTTTCTTGCGAGTGTGCATGGCAATATCTATACCACCCATGAATAAAGGGCCTATTTTTCTGGTAGACAGAGAGAGATACAAAAATCTATGGAACAGTGCATCCACGTGCATCACAATCAACAGAAGTTAACTGCCTTTAAAAAAAAAAATTAGAATGCAAGTAGTAATCCTTTGGAAAAAAGAGTTTAAAAAAATCCAAACTTAAAATTACCATTAAAAATCTGGACCAGATATTCTATAAGCAATGTATAATTTGTTCTGAAACATAAAAATTGCTGATAGTTCATCAACAAAACTGTTATCTTATTCACAGAGAAGCTTGATTCAAATTCTGTTGATAAATATTGCACTGTTTAAAGTTTTAAATCTCTTTTTAAAGGAAAATTTGATAATATAAAATGACATACTTCCTAGTCTATGAAATTCTTTACCCATAGTCAGCACAGCTGTAGATAGACTACTGTATGTAGAATCAGCACTGGCTATTCCTTTCTCAAGGTAATATGGCTGTTCAGTTGACCCCATTTACCCCAACACACTCCTCTTAACCCATATAACCTGCAAGAACTCAATCTCTTTCCTTAAGCAACTAATTGCAAATAAAAGTGCAGTACTATAAAACTTTATGAAGAACTTCATGTTCATGGACCTATGTTTTGGCTCCAAACTTCTAAAAACAACAAACCAAAATTTACAAATTGTTTTCAAATCATAAAACAATTTCTAAATAAAATTCTTACTTTTTTCCCACAGAAAATGGGTATTAGCCCCAAACTCTTAAGAAGTTAACTACTTATTAGATATTTAAAGCTAGAAAACACAGGCATCTAAAATTAATAAACAGTGAAAAGTATCACATCTTGTCAATTCACATTCAACATATAATTCACTAATTTATGGAATTCTTTATTAAAAAAAAATGAATGTCAGAGAGTACATTCATTCCATGGAACCATGACCTGAATGGATGAAACTGCTGGTACAGTTGGTTCAAGAATCTATTTCTTTCATTCTTTTTTTTTTTTAATTTATTTTTTGCCAGAGAGAGAGACAGCGAGAGAGGGAACACAAGCAGAGGGAGTGGGAGAGGGAGAAGCAGGCTTCCCGTGGAGGAGGAAGCCCAATGCGGGGCTTGATCCCAGGACCCTGGGCCAAAGGCAGACACTTAATGACTGAGCCACCCAGGCGCCTCTTGAAGAATCCATTTCATGATTTGTCAATACATTACAAATGATAATCTTCAAATTAGATAGCATAAAGACAAATAGAAAACAACAGAGTTTGAAGGACAGATTAGATCAGAACTAATTACTACATTTGCTGCTTCCCTTTTCCCAACCACAAATCAGGATTCATTCACTCCTTCAACAAATATTCAGTGCCAATTCTATGCTAGGCACTCTCCTCACTGCTTGGTGTGCATCCTTTAGCAAAATAACAAAGAGCCTCACCCTCCTGGACCTTACATGCTACTGATGGGTAGAGAGTAAAGGGATAACAAACAGGATAAATGATGAAATCAAAAAATATTAGCAACCAATAAATTCTATGAAAAAATATAAAGTGAAACAAGATGAGAAGTATGAGAAGTGGGGAAGTGAAGGTTATAATTTTAAATTATACCGTCAGTAGGTACTCACTGGGTTTGATATACAAATCTTGTTTTTTTCCTAAAAATGTATTCTCTTTGTGTGTGGAATTTGGGGAAAGAATGGGAAAATGTTCACTATAAAAAGTATCTCATTTTTAAAGCATATTTTTAAGACAACAGCTGTTTAAATAGAGAGGTGGACTGGGAGAGTGAGCAGTGACACTAGTAACTTAGTCACCAGGGATGACAAGGCCAATCTGATCAGCTATATTATATGCTGTCTTCTCTCAGCTTTTAATATACTCCTTTCAAAATCAGAGTTCTCTATAAATATAAGAACATTTCCAGATGGCCAAAGGCCTTTCTTCGGTCAAGGGGACACATAAAATAATATCCCAAATCTCCAGATATAGACTTGATAAAAGAATAAGCAACACTGAACTAGTGACAAACTGTAGAAAATAGCAAAAGCTCTCAGCAAGCTCTCCTCACCTGCCTGAGCGGCACAGAATGAACTGCTCCTGACTCAGGAATCATTTTGGAAGAAAAGGGAAAGAATGAATCAGAAGAAGAAAGGAAGTGAGAATACACAATAAAGAAGCTGCTTTTCATAGGTCAACTAAGAAAAATAAAATTGGTTTATATTATAAGCCATACTAGAATAAAAAATAAGGCTAATTAGAAAGGGTTTTTTAATTACTATTTTGAGGAGATAATGGCTTTCAAAAATTACTATATTAACAAGGACGTAAACAAGATAGACACTACCAAAAACGAAACCAAAAAAATTGTATTTCTTCAGTGGTTAAAAAGAAATAGGATAATGGATATTTCCCTGTACATAAAATTCACTCTGTTCTTTTAACAGGTATATAATAGAGCTCTTTAAATTTTAATTTAAAGTACCTGTATATTTGCTGGTTACTTAGTAAAAAATTTTACTTAGTAAAAAATTAGAGGTTTAAATATTTTAAATGATAAAGTGTAAATATTTCATGGATAAAATGCACAAAAATGGCCAGTTTTAAGATTAATTCTACTGGTACCTATTTATGAATTATGAATTACTTACATATTAAATATCATGCATTTTGTATTAGGGGTAACTCAACAGAAACTTATACTGTATTTTCACAAAGTAAATGCCACAGTTGTTCAACTGTCTAGAAAATAAAATGTACCTCATATATATGAATTTAGGATATTTAGAAATGCATTATCCTTTTACAACAACACTCCTAGATATCTTATTAATGACCTCAATGATCTTTACATTTTTCAGTTTAACTGCATTAGATCTAATTGCAATGCGAGCACAATGAATCTATTGGTGTTAATTATAATTATACTTCTTCAACTACATCTACACAAGAGTAATGATGGTGAGCACAAATGAAAGTTTGAGTTCTTTTAATTATGTCATTTATGTAACATTTTCTCCAGCTATATCAATTACTTCATAAATTAATCTACAGAATAGATAGAAATAAATCTGATTGAAGCTAAAAAATGGGTAAGTCGGGCACCTGGGTGGCTCAGTCAGTTAAGCGTCTGCCTTTAGCTCAGGTCATGATCCCAGGGTCCTCGGATCGAGTCCCACATTGGGCTATCTGCTTGGCAGGGAGTCTACTTCTCCCTCTGCCTCTCCCCTCTGCTTGTGCGCTATCTCTCTCAAATAAATAAATAAAATGTTTTTAAAAAGTGGATAAGTCCATTGGTGTTTTGCCAGTAAGCTCCATGAGAAAAAAGAACACCAAAGTCAATGATTTATAAAAAAAAAAAAAAAGAAAAAGCAGTTTCTTCTTGAGTTACAGCATGGACACAGTTCATATCTGGAACCTGAATGCAATGTCATGCACAATTACACATGTAATAAATATATTTTGATGATGATGCTGATTTATTACAGACTTTAAGATACTCAGAGCATAAACCATATACAAATGTGGCAAGTTTATCATAATGTAAACAGACCTAATATGTACATATAGAACACAACGAAACTGATAGTAAGCTCTGAACAGTTTTGAGGAAACTGAAATTTAAATGATATTGTAAGTAGATTCAAACACACAAAAAAGGAAGAATGAGTACAAAGATTAGCCAGAAGGGATTAATATTACATTTCATTAGTATGTGGAGCTCATGCCTTTACCAGCAGGTTAGAAAAGAAGCATGGAAAAGCTGAGTGATGTTTATTTAGCAAGAACTAAAATAAATTAAATGCAACCTACAATAGCCTCTCATTCTAAAACTGCAAACTAGTGCAGAGATTTGTGGTGAAAAGAAGGGACCATGCCCAGACTTAGGATTCATTCGTACACTCTACCTTCATTTTATAATCAAATTTCCAAATAAATATTACAAAAACATCTACCTAGTTATTTGTAAAAAGCTCTGAAAAGCCCAAACTTTCTAGACAATGATTTCAATAAAAGCTCTCCTATACTCTGTGAAAAACTAAAAATAGATTGAAAAATTCTCCATTTGATTCAACAATCCCACTTTGGGGTATAAATCTAAAAAACTGAAAGCAGGGTCTGAAAGAGATATTTGTACCTTCTTGGTCATACCAGCATTATTCACAATAATCAAAGGTGGAAACAATCCAAATGTCCATCAATGGATGAATGAATCAACAAAATGTCAAATATACATGCAATGGAATGTTCTTCAGCCTTAAAAAGGAAGGAGATCCTTTCATGTGCCACAACACAGATGAACCTTGAGGATATTACACTGAGTGAAATAAGCCATTCACAAAAAGGCAAGAACTGAATGATTCCACTTACATGAGGTATCTAGAGTAGTCAAATTCATAGTGACAGAAAGTAGAAAACTGGTTGCCAGGGGTTGGGGGTAGAGGAGAAAGGAGAGTTGTTTGGGGTAGAAAGTTTCAGTTTTGCAAGATGAAAAGAGTTTTGGAGACCGGTTGCACAATGTGGATATACTTAACACTACTGAACTGTACACTTTAATTTTTTTTTTATTTTATCGCTTCTTGACCTTTTGGCTAAGATCAAGTGTAAATTTTTTTTATTTTACTATAATAATGAAAACAACCCTCTCCTATGACTGTTAGAATGTAGTTTTAAACTATAATTAATGTAATCAACTACGTAAATGATTAAACTTCTACAAATAATATAATTTAAAATTGTATACACAGGGAACAAAGCTAAAGTCATTATTTTTTGCTTTGGAGGAAAAAATGTTCAAGAAAAGTATGACTAAAAAACACTGTAGATTAGCATTCATCATTAAAAATTAATTTGGGGA